AGTTTTATGTTTATTTCTTGGCTGTAACTAGGAAATACTTGGTGCCGGTTTGAACAAGACAAGAAGGAATAGCGACTGGGAGCAACAACCTTTGAGTGAAAATCAGGTTATTTTACATTTTCTTTTTCTTTTTTTTAATATTATTGCCTCAGAATGGATATTACAAGAAGAATCACACAATTTAATGTCAGAATTCAAATGGTTGGAAGAGCATATTATTGTGCGGAATGCATCTGTAAGAATGATGTCAGTATGCGGAACTTCATGGAGACACTTCCATGTAAATCTTAATGATCTGAAATTTCAAGAGTGTAGGGTCAGGAGACATGATTTTGGCATTTGCTTAAGCGATTTCTCGAGATCTTTAGTGCAACAAATATTCTTGTGGTGTCTATTTAAAACAACGTAACTGCTGATACTTTTCAGGAAAAAATTATTTTTTCGTCTCTGTACTTTCACGCTTTATGTGAACAAGTTCTTGTATTTTTAATTTATCTTATCAAGTCGTACTTTTAATTTTTTAATCAAGTCCCTCTTACACCAAATTTTAACAAACGTGAGCAGCGGATACACCAAAGTGATGTTAATATGCTGATTCCCAAATTGACATGTGTGAAGAGAATTAGACATTGTACACAACGTCTAAGTATGATATGGATAAAAGTCAGTCAATGTGGACACCACATCGACAGAAAACTTTTATCCCCGTCATAGCACGACGTCATTCAACAGTCACATCAGCTGAACTTAATTGGACCTGATGTCGGAGGGAATTGATTCCTAAATTTGTGAAAGTAGGACTTAATTAGACAAATAAAAGTACGGGGACTTGATTGGAAAAAGTGTGAAAGTACATTGAAGAAAAGTAGAATTTTCCTTATTTTTACTAACACCATCCCCTCTTTCAACCCCAAGATAGGGAAAGAACGATAAACGTATATTAAGGAGCAAACACGGCGCAGGGAAGAAAGGAGAAATAAACGTATATTAAGGAGCAAACACGGCGCTGGGAAGAAAGGAGAAAAGTAACCATTGATGTTTCCGGAAATATGATCAGAGCAGTAGTCCTTTGATTTAACCTGAGAAATTTCAATGTTTGCAGCTGGAATATGCCGCTCTTGATGCTGCTGTTCTTGTGCACATATTTCATCGTATATGGGATCGATCTCAGCAAGCTACTTCGGATGGTAATGATAAAATAGAATGGAAGTCTTCTATAGTAAGTGAATAGCACCTACTAGTTTCCTTAACTCCCCTATAAGAAAAGCTGAAGTGAAAAGTATGATATTCTTTTTAACTTTTGTGCAATTTGTTTGAACATTAACAGTTGTTGCAGATTTCGCACATGGATAATGCCAAAACGACCAAAAGGAATGTTCGGAATAGAACAAAGTGCAGATTGGAGATTGACTAGCTTGACAATCAATTCATGAACTGCCAGAGCTATCGCTGCCAGGGGCGGTTTTTCTTATGTAAATAGCTTTTGCATATAAAGACTAGACATCAGTATTTAGTGATCCAATTAGCAATTATGATGTGCATTTGGCATAAATTTATTGCCAATGAGAGCTTCAGTTCCGTCTTCTTGTGCTGGGTCGCTTTTTCTTGAGAGATTTTTGGTGCTTCAGAAAGCTCCTTGGTCGAAACCCGACCACGGCCACACTCTATGCTTTTGAGTTCTGGTTTCCCACGGTTCCCCAACACGAAGTTACTCTTGAATTTCCTTGGCTAAGAGTGTATATACTCGGTGGGAGCTTAATAGTATTGGTGAGTCAATCACCAAAATGAGCAGCCATCTATGCAGACATTGCAATGTTCGACCTTGCGCTGTAAGTTGCCTTTGCCGTGCCTTTCGCGAAGCAGATCTCTAGCTAGGCGATTTCTGGGGAAACAAAACATGCTCTATATGGTAATGAGAAGAACCAAAAAGAGGGACAAACGAAACCAAAAATGACCGCCATTTAGGTATGTCCATTATCACGTTTATTTCCTTTTGGATTTGGTCTAGGCCTTGTATTATACTGATTGATCTAAGATGAGTATTATTGCGGATCTTTCTTTTGATTTTTGAAATAATTGAAATTTCGACCACCTGATGAACCCCATGAATGTAGGCTAGGGATGAATTCGTCTTACCTGTGAAGCCGATTCCGGCGGCATCACGGGTTAATATCAAAGATTTAGAAGCCTTAGACGCATGTAACCTCTAACTTCACCTAACAAAAAAAAAGGCATCATCGCAATTTCAAAAGAAAGAAAAATAAAATTTGCATGGATTTATATCCCAATGTTAAAAATAGAAGGTCCAAATTCTGGTTGCCTCTCTCTCTCTCTCGTACATGATAGTCTCCTTCCCCAACCGAAAAAACCACATGCGTTTGCTGTCATCTCAGAACATTAGAGAGACCACTTCTCTCTCTCTCTCTCTCTCTCTCTCTCTCTCTCTCTCTCTCTCTCTCTCTCTCTCTCTCTCTGAAAAAAGAATCCTTCTCGTCCCGGAGAGGGGAGAAGCCACGAGGGAGGGCCGGGGGAGAGAGAGAGATTGAGGACACAGATGGACCCGTGGTCGCCGAGCTACAAATCCCATGGAGTTGGCCAGACTCTAGAGATCATGACGATCCAAATTCTTAACCAAAACCTGATGTACGTAGCCAAATCCCGGCCTCACATGCTCGAACCCGTTTCACCCCCGCACAGAGTATACAAAGTGAAGAAGTTGGCAATAAAAGCGTCGTGGTGGAACGATCCAAAGAAGAAGAGGAAGAGGAGGGTGGCCAGATACAAGCTTTATTCCATCGAAGGCAAGTTCAAGGCTTCTTTCAAACAAGGTTCCGACGGTTGAACTGGAAATTCTCGAGCATCGTACGTCGATTCTAATTAGTAGAAATTACAGAATATCGTGTTCATCGCCATCAAGATAGAAAGAGGGTGAGATTTGTCGGGAGGAAACATAGAGGTTTGCTGTGTTTGTTGGGTGTTCATCTTTATATGTATCTAATTGTAATCAAATATTGAGAAGAGTGCCACAATGTTCGATCTTTCCGGCATTGTGTTTGTCTGACTTGTTGCTTCATTCATCAATCTCCAGCATTCAAAAAATAGGAAAATGAGACGACCCGTATGTGATAATTGTATATATTTATAAATGCCGATTTTTTTTTTAATTTTCTTGCCTTCTAATTTATTTGTGACAGGATTCTGCATGCATGCCCATGCAAAGTAAAATTGTCTGATATGTTCATCTCTCCTCGTTTCAGTAAAGCTCTTTTCCTAATAAATTTGATGATGATTGCAAGATCAGATGAATTCTTGTATTTGTAGGATTGACGTTTCGATCTATTTTGGGGGTCGATTTCGTTGTTTAGGACTCTGTTTTGGCCATATGTTTGTTTAAGCCTCGTTTCTGGGTTCTTTAACCCCCTAATTTCCTCAATTCATCTGTTTCGATTCCTCTTGGTCGTACAATTCATCATATGGCAACGTATACTACTGAAGCTATATAACCTAAAAATGCCGGGTGTTAAATAAACCGAAAGGCTTTCCATTGTTCCATTTTGATTTGAGGACAGTTTTCATATTCCTAGTACTGTCCCGTCCAGCTCGGAGTTAAAAAAATGAGGAAAACCGAAAAGCTCCAAAGCGAACCCTCTTTAATCCTATCAAAACTTAGTTATTGTTCAAATGGCTGTAATTTATGGGATCTTGATGTAAACTGTGATAGAACTTCAAAAAACAAGCTCGAAGCAAATTGCTAGCACGAAATTGAAGAGGAAGAAAGAAAAGACTAAAAACCCATGAACAGAACCAAATCAGTTCACTTGGTTTAACACATTCATCCAGTTATCCGGTCAATTCACGGCTTTCCAACTTCAAATCAATTCAGCAGATAAGGTTCTAACTAAAGTTCTATAAGTAGTCAAACTCAATGCTATTGCCCTTTAAATTAATTTGCCTAGACACTGATTAAGCAATTAAGTAAATAAAGAGTAGAGTCGATACATTGACTTTACTTGCGATTTTTCCATCTAATGTTCGACCAATATTCTGACAATTAAATTATTTTATGTTAAGTATGTTTAACAAGTATCTCAACACGACCCACATTATATATGTGTTACTACTCATAGATTCGAACTTGGCTTAACAAGCTTCTTTACCCTGTCTTGAGCTCTGTAAAAATTAAGACAAAGTTCGAGTGGACAAGCAGCGAATCAGACTATAAGTACCTTACGAGTAGCTTTTAACTAATAAAATTCCACCATCGTAATCTAGTACAGGGTACAGGAATATCTGAGAGTGGCCTCCAAGAAATTGCTTCGATTGAAACTTGAATGCATGATCGGTGACCACAAATTTGGTGTAGTAGAGTCTGATTATTAACCAATTAGATATACCTTCAAAGTTTTTTTGTTCAAACCAAATGAGTATAAATTTTGGGAAGGGCTCTTTTCACCCTTCCAAAAATTTTGTCCACATTTTCCAATAGTCTTCGACCGTAGCCAACGCTAGAGAAAAAGTTTCAGGTATGAAAATGTACACGGATGTGTCTCTTCTGCTTTTAGATTCATGCGTAAATAAATCAAGTTCGAGATTACACAGTCAAAGCGATTGCAAAATGCCTATATACGAATTTTCTAATGTAACCAGATCAGAGAGATGATTTTACACTGATGAATGCTTTTATTTCGTGTTCAAAATTCTTCCAAATGAGAAAGTACTGTCTTCTTGGAAACCTTTTCATTGAAACTCATGGCTGCAATTGACAGATCATTTACTGATTCCACGGCATTCGCTTTTTCCCTAAAAAAAGTCTCCCAATCTCGAAATTGTAGCTTGAAGTGGACATCTAATTGGTAATCTTGTTAACAAATCTCATTTTATGCTTAACTTACACATATAGAACCACCTGCACATGCGGTCTTTCCTGCAAGCGATTTGTGATTCGGCCATTGCTAAAGAATAGCGCGATGCCAAAGCTTGCAAAGGACTAAAACACCACATGAGAAGAGGTCGCTTTATATCACGAACTATTTGAAGAGTATTAACAACACGGAGCACATGATAAAAGCCAATAGTAAAGAACTTCGAAATGCCTTTCCATAATGACACAGCTCATTCCTGCCCGTATCTCCATCCCGTGGTGTTTGGGGACTTTCTCCGAGTTCCATGAAATGCAGCTTGAATCTACCAAGGAGGATACGACTGACTCATTATCAATAAATGAAGATGAGCAAGATCGCAGCATCACAATTTACCCCATGAAAGAAAAGGTACAAATGCGTAAACATCATTTACACCGATTGCAGTTGGACCACAATGAATAGAGGCTTCATTAGCTGGCCGATGAAAAAGAAAACGCTAGGCTTAAAAGAAGTATGCAATTAGCAACAACACTTTCCTGGTTCGTGTTTAGGAACAGAATTAATGTTAATAAAATTATGCTGAAAAGGTTAAGTGCCGAAACTACACAACAGAAACATGTATTTGTTATTTGGTCATTGGCAATATCCAATCAGCAAAATCAGCAATTCAAGATAATTTGTGAGGAAGTCAATTTCAACTTTACGAATTCAATACCACATACATGAGAGCTGAGCCTATCAAATCAGAAACCTATATGACAACATTCAAAGAATATTATCACACAAATACACTGATAGAAATGACGGAGCTTAGCAATGCATACCTCTCTCTGCAGAGCCTCATCGAGTTCAGGAGTGATATCATTAGAATGCAACCACATCAAACAGCTCTGCATCAGGGTAACATACAAAAAAATCAGCAGCTACTCATTTGATTAACAAAGAGCTAAAACCTAACGAGCATACAGAAAGTAGATTCAATTTAAAAAACTACATTTATTATCATTCAAGTATGTGCTGCTGAGACTAGATCAAGTGTTTTGGATCTTTACAAGCATCAAAATTTCCTCGAGACACTCTAGTTGGCCCATGAGCCTCTTCAAGTTTGGCATGCAAGATGGTCCTCAGCTGTTGCTGATGCTTCCTCTACAAAATCCCTTTTCTTCATTTTATCGGTCTCAGGTCTGGAATTTGAAGATCCTCAGCCAAGTGAGCCACACCCAAATCAGTCATGTGATAAAACAATTCCGTGACAACAATAGGATCAAATGGGATGTAAACTAATTAGCAAATTCTTGAGCTACTCGCCCCAACTTGTTCCACAGAACAGGCAAAAAATTGTCCAATTATGCAAAAGGTTATTAGATACAGCTGATTGAATCGAAGTCCAATAGTAAGGCTTTGTCATTACATAGACCAAACAAAACTGTCATAGAAGCAGCACCAGTTCGCCTTTGCTTGATAATCTGTCAAAACAATAGCCTTGAGCTAGTCTACAATTGTATATGATGGACTAGTCAGAACTAATTTTCATTTTTTTTTTATCACAACTAGAGAAACTTGAAACTTGACTTTTATTTTAGCTTAGTTTCTCATACTATAGGGAATTCGTGCTCTGTCTTGTAAGATTCAAGAGAAACATCAAGGAAACAATAAGAAACTTGACTGGGTTTTTGATCATCAACGAAAATCGATAGGTGTTTGTTCTGAACAGAGTATCTGTCATTAGTCAAATTTGACACACAAAAATACTCACAAAGGAACTCAAAATGGCCAAGGATTTCTTAAAAGAAAATATGAATTTTGGGAATAGGGAAAAATGGACTTTGGGAGGAGTTTAGAATACTGAGTAGCAGAAGATCATCAGCCTCTAGATGAAATATTCAAATCCCGGGTTTATCGAGAGGGAAACTGTAAATCAGTAGGGAATTCTTGTTTACCTATATTTGATATTGTCATCATCACCTCACAAGCCACTAATCTGTTTGCAGTCTACAATAGCCGCCAATGGGAGGATGAATGAAAAACATTGCTATAATGATATATTGGCAAATCCGGAGTTTCCAAAATCAATCAAATAGATACCCGGTGTGGAGCAAATCATTCTTAAAATATAGAGACTGATAGCTTCTATTGACATTTGGGTCTACATTTTGATCTTGGGCGAAGCATCATGTCACGCCCCGAACCCCAACGAGCTCGCGGCATCCCCTGCTCCGGTCGAAATGATGCGACGTCCCAGGAACGTCGCCGACCCAACCCAAACATCAGAGCCACATGCGGAAGCGAATAACAAAACCCCGGACAAATAATGACGACAACGGGGTAGAACAACGAGAACAATCCAAAGCAACCACATATTCATACAACACCAAATATACAAACATCATATTACGTACATAAATACAGACTAACATCCTCAGTCACCGTTTAAACAAAAGTTCAAGGGTTTGGTTATCTTAACTTCACTATCGGATAACCCAAGTTATACAACCCCTAAAACACCCTAGGGAAAAACCTAAGGGTCGCCCTCTTCCATTCTGCTTCTGAATTTCTGGCTTGAAACTCTGGAACTCACCTGCGCAGCCTCCACCGGGCACCAACAGCTACTCCCTGACTTCCAAAAAGAAAAGGCGCACTTCCTGTGTTTAGGCCGGGTCTGAAAGTGGCGGTTATACAACCGTGAGACGAATCTCAATAAGTGTACAACCCCAAACCCCAAACCCCACGTAGGCACTCACGTACCGCCAGACGAAAACACACATAACACACAACGATCGGCCAAACTAACAATCACATGCGACCCTACTCCGGAATCCATCACGCACGTTCCCGCACGTTAGACAATAACAACACACCAACACATCACAAAGAAGGAATCACAGACGCTGCTGCCTCAATTATAAGACGAAACCACTTGGGCACGTCCCATACCGTGCCTAGCGCTTTCTACCCCATAATTAAGCATCACATCACGCGATACAAACACACTCGCACGCTACTCACACCATGCGTCACTTTCCACAATCCTCTCGCTTGTCTTGCCAAATCCCACTCATTCTCAACCTTTCCACCACTACCGCCAGCCCGCAAACGCATCGCCAACGGTCTTGACCTCGTCTGCATCGTCACCACCGTCGGGCCGGGCATCGTCACCTCGTCGTGGGACGGCATCGTCCCGCGTAAACGTACACGCCTCAGGACGGAATCCTACACACACACTTTCCTTCTACTGCGCCCGCGTAAACGCATCGTGCCAACGGTCTTCCTCGACCACGCCAGGCATCGACACCTCGTCAGGCCGGGCATCGTCACCTCGTCAGGGACGGCATCGTCCCGCGTAAACGAACACGCCTCAGGACGGATCCTTTCCAACCAATCCCACATTTCCAAACCTTCGTTCCACACTCTCCACACGTACCACGCCACCACACAAACACACTGCCAAACATACACACTTCACACACATTCCATAATTTCGCATTCTCGTCACACGAACACGCACCATTTAACCACACGCTCTCGGCACGCGAGTTCAATGCACATTCACATCACCATATCACCACACTTCACGGCTACATAAACACGGCACGCCACCACACCACATTCAGCCCAATGCACAAACCAAATCAGCCCACAACGATTTCCAAGCCAACCAACAAGCACAATCACACAACCACGCACAAATTTCCATTCAAGGCACAATCCCATTAATTAATCGCACAAATTAATTCCGATCAAACCCCAACATCACAGCCTTAATCCAAGCTCCCTAAACCTCAAAATTCTTCGCCTAATCAGTCCGCAACCACCAAATAATCAGTCACTCAAATCGTCCCGAATGTGCCCCTAAAATAAATCACAAATCGCCTAAACCGAGTCCTAAACGAGTCTAAATACCCGAGCTCCTAGGTAGTTTTTGGGGGAGACACTTACCCAAAAAAGGCGAGACAGAACGGGGCTGGAATGGGCCGGGACAGCGGCAGCAGCGTCGCCGGCGATGTACGGACGGCCTGAACAGTGCACCGTACGGACGCGGTGAACAGTACACTCCGTACGGACACTGTACGGACAGGCTGGGACGGTGGCCGGCGAGGTGCCGGTGACATCCGCGGCGTCCGACGGTCCGGCGTGAACAGCGATCCGTACGGGACGGTGAACAGTACCCGTACGGACACTGTACGGACTGCGCTGGACGGCGACGTACGGCGAGGCTGGACGGCTGGGTGTCGACGGAACGGCGATCGGGGCTCCGGCGAAGCTCCGGCGGTACTGTTTGCAGACCGGGAAAGAGAAAAACAGAGAAACAAGGCTGTTTTGGACAAAAACTGGGGCTGTGGTGGCTGCAACAGAGGTGGAAATGGTTGCTGGTGATGTTGGCTTGGTGGGGGCAAAGACCGGCTGGTACTGTTCCGGCGTGAACAGTACCGGAAATGGCAGAAACGTAATCTGCAGAACAAGAAACGGAGAAGAAGAAGAACTTGCACGGGGGAAAATAACCAAATAGCTGAGAGGAGAGAGAGAGGGTCTGGTCAAATAGGTCAAAGATAGCTTAGTGGAGTCCAAGTGTCACAATCTAGGCCCATTGGACAATTTTGCCCCTAATCCAAGGGCCCAAATTTGATCCAATCCAATAATTTAGGGGTAGAATGGTCATTTGCTCTTAACCATGGTTGACCAGACCTGAGTTAAGCCTAACTCACCTTGGTTAATCCCAAAATTAAATCCAATTTTCGGAATTAATCAAAAATGGCCTAGGGGCATTTTCGTAATTTTCCGATCCCGAACCGAAATTCCAATTTTTGCACATACGCGTTCCATATATGCGTGGCCAACATAATATGAAGGCGGGAATCGCGAAATTCATCGCGTAAGCCCTCGAAAATCCACGTCAAAGTCTCGAATAAAATAATATTATTTTTCCAATTTTTGTCGAAATTCCAATTTTTGGCCAAACCACTCTAAATGTGCGTGGCCACCCCAAAATGACCTTGGCCGCGAAAAATAACCTCAAACGGCCTTCGAATCCAACCTCGGTGCCCACAGGGGCAAAACCATAATTTTTCGGGCCCCTGACCGAAATCCATTTTTTCGCAGAAATGGGTGGCCCCAAGGTTGGCCAAGCCAAAACGTCATCGGCCATCCAAAATTGTCACTTTCAAAATTCTCGATTCCCGGCCCGAATTCCAAGAAATGACTAAAATCGAGCAATAGCAACTTTAGCTTATCTCTCGGCTAACGGGTGGCTCTCTGAATTACGCGCTCTCGACCCGTGACCGACACTAAGTCAAATCACGTTTAAGTTTACTCCACCGGGACGACCTCGGTTGTCATATAATTGCGAGGGTCTCACTAGTGCCTCTTTGGACACGATCAATCAAATAGATCGGTCTCGGTTGGCTCAAAACATTTCCTCGTCAATCGATATGGTCAAGTCGAACCTGGGTCGAGTTCTTTGGTCGTGCGAACTCAATCCCGTAACGGCCCTACCCCTAAGGTTAGCATCCCGTGAATGCGCATTTCCAGGTGAGACCTTACTATAGTGCATTGGTCAAATTCATTTCTTAAATCCCGGGAAAAGGATCGAAAATTCAGACTGTTACACATCATGTCAGCTTCTATGACCAACTCCCCCACTCCTTCAATTATGAGATGACCAACAGCTTCTAACAATTTTGTGTAGTTCAGAATCAGAACCCCACCCCTGTCATGGAAAACCATCTTGTCAAAAGAAGATAGCGATGAAAAGTAGTACATGAATATTAGAAGAAAAACGATAGTTTACTGCTTATTTACCTCTGTTAAAAAAACATGAGTTGTCTCACTGTTGGCACGCATTGCCTGTTCCTGAAACTTCGTAAAGACGTGTTTTCCAAATAATTTTGGTATTGGTTCCAATGAGTCACAACTAGAGATATCCAAATCAATTAAATCCAACTTTTCAAGTCCCCGAAGCTGAGTAAGTTTCTTGCAATGTCGAACATTTAGAGATCGTAACTTCTCACATCCCGTCAAATTTGGCAACATCTCCATTGATTTGCATCCTCTAAAATCCAGCTTTTCTAAGAACTTCGCACTGTCAAGACCTCGAATTTCGACTAGATTGCTGCACGCGATGGCCTGTAATTCCTTCAAACACCGTGATTCTGCACAGAGAAGCCTTGCAATGGAATTGCAGCGATATATAGATATGTCCTCCAAGAACTCCAAATTATCAAGGCCTTGAATTTCAACTAGCTTATTGCAATTCGCAGCGCATAATTGTTTCAGACCACTTAACTGTGAAAGGTCCAGTCTTTTGATTGAACTGCACTTTTTTATTGAAAACTCTTGCAAGTTCTTCAATCCGTCGAGCTTAAGCAATATCAGCTTACCACACTCTTCAATGCAAAGTTTCAAGAGTCTTGAGGGAAGCTCGGGGACGTCTTCAAGTAGATGGCATTTCCGAAGATGGAATTCTTTTATGTGGATTAGGCTAGAAAGCTGTGGTAGCGACCGGAGCTTGTCACAGCCATATAGGTAAAGGCCCTGGAGAGAAGAAAGATCCCCAATAGCACTGGGAAGCCTTTCAATCTCAGACCCACTCAATTTCAGGTGTTGCAAATTCTGTAAATCCCCAATTGAGCTAGGGATTTCTCTCAGTGACTCACAATAACTCAAGTCTAGGTGTTGCAAATTCTGTAAATCCCCAATTGAGCGAGGGATTTTTCTCAGTGACTTACAATAACTCAAGTCCAGACGTTGCAAATTTTGTAAATCCCAAATTGAGCTAGGGATTTCTCTCAGTGACTCACAAAAGTAGGCACCCAGTTCCTTCAGCTTCCTCAGAGAACCAATAGACGTAGGGATCTTTGTAATACCAGAAAAACTCAATTTAAGTTCTTCTAAATCTTTTAATTCGCCCACTTCCTCTGGTAGCTCCTTAAGACTTTCTGACAGCCGACAAGCTCGGACGTTGCAAATTCAGAAATCCCAAATTGAGCTAGGGATTTCTCTCGGTGACTCACAACGCGCGGCACTCGCCCTTCCTTCCTTCCTCGAGAGAACCAATAGACGTAGGGATCTTTGTAATACCGTAAAAAACTCAATTTAAGTTTTTCTAAATCTTTAATTCACCCACTTCCTCTGGTAGCTCCTTGAGACTTTTACAGCCAGACAAGTTCAGACGTTGCAAATTCTGTAAATCCCCAATTGAGCTAGGGATTTCTCTTAGTGACTTACAATAACTCAAGTCCAGACGTTGCAAATTCTGTAAACCCCAAATTGATCTAGGGATTTCTCTCAGTGATATACAATAACTCAAGTCCAGACATTGCAAATTCTGTAAATCCCCAATTGAGCTAGGGATTTCTCTCAGTGACTCACAAAAGGAGGCACTCAGTTTCTTCAGCTTGCTCAGAGAACCAATAGACGTAGGGATCTCTGTAATACCAAGAAAATTCAAATTAAGTTCTTCTAAATCTTTTAATTCGCCCACTTCCTCTGGTAGCTCCTTGAGACTTTTACAGCCAGACAAGCACAGACATTGCAAATTCTGTAAATCCCTAATTGAGCTAGGGATTTCTCTCAGCGACTCAGAAAAGTAGGCACTCAGTTTCTTTAGCTTTCTCAGAGAACCAATAAACATAGGGATCTCTGTAAAACCAGAAACACCTAATACAAGTACTTCTAAATCTTTTAATTCGCCCACTTCCTCTGGTAGCTCCTTGAGACTTAAACATGCTATCAACTCCAAGGAAACGAGGCTCTTGAGTTTGCCAATAGAAGGGTGGAGATGCTCCAGTCCCTCACAACTGTGCAAGCTGAGAACCTTCAACTGCGTGAAAGCCGACAGATCAGGATTACATCTTAAACCTTTGCACTCTATAAGGTCGAGAACTAGTAGCCGCTTTGCCGTCTACACAAAAAAAAGAGGAGAATAAAGCTGTCAAAAGAATGAGAGTGGGGGATCGGCTAAACAAAAACAAAACCCCATCTTAAATCACGGAGAGAGGGGGAGGATGTCTCTTCTTTTCCCCCCCAATCTTACCATGAATGTACTCCTCCATCCTTCCCAATCCTCTGTGATCTTGCTCCCTGATAATTCCAGCACCGATAAGTTCGGTAGATGCAAACCGGTCGTCGGAAGAGGCGGATCGTCTTCCCCGAACTCCCAGCTAAGCCATCTTACTTCAGAAAGGAGTTCGTTAGAAGAGCCTCCGCTTGAAGCTGCCCTCATCCAGTCACCGAACGGGAACCAGGGGCTCTGCAAGTTTTTTCAATTGGTTCATCTGAGGACGTCTGGATATGGGGGAAGGCATTCAACTTTTAACTTTTTGTTTTTGCTTTTTAAAAAAAAAAAATTGGATTTGCACCGATTTTGTTATCTTTTTATCCTTCCCGCGTATAAATATGGACACATGAACTCACATTTAATTTTTTTTTTTACGATCTTTCGAAATTTGTGAAAATAAAGAAAAAATAGTAAATTGCTTTAAAACAACTAAGGCAAATGCACCTCAATGTTTTATCTTTTTATTTTTTTTCAAATTTTGTAGCGCATGCACTTTGACTTTTTTTTATGATGAAATATGCGACACCATTTTGCAAAGTACAAATGTTTACTTGTAAATTTTCATATGACTTTGATTGATTTTAATAACTCCCAAAAGTTTAATCGCTTAGGATTTTTTTTTTTTGGTTGGTTTGATTCACTTTTACGGTTCAACTCGTTTGTCGTTATCTCTACTTTAAATATTGAATAGTGAAAAACCCGCAACTATTATAATTTCTCTTAAGTTTGTTCGTAGGGAAAGTCACTAAATTGTTGTCATCATCACCCCACGCCATCTTTCATAATTTTTGCTCGCACGTCAATCTATATGGTATATTACATTAGAAAGTCTACTACATGAAAAGGGAATTTCAAACCTCAAACTTTCGTCAAAATTTTACACACAATTCACAGATATTTCACCAAAATGAGTTAAAGAAATAGATATAACAAAATAGATAGAATTATATTTTAAATAGTCAGGACAATTGGAAATTAGTCCCGCAAGTTTTTCATTTTCCAAAGTTAAATCAAAATCTTTCCATCTTACAATCATTTGATATTTTTTTCCTACACTAATTATCATCTTTCAACATTTTTGTCTATTCAAAACAGATTGAACTTTTTTTCATTTTTCCAAAGACCCGTATGATGTGCTCTTTTTGCTAATGTTAAGAAGTTACTGGATCAACAAAAGAGTGTGAAATCGAATCATAGGAACAAACTATTTCAAATTATACCAAGAATAAAAAGCTATTTCCTTTGCCCAACATCTCTTGGTTAATTGCTAGGGTTAATTCCTTGCCATTGATCAGTCATAAGCCTATGAGGCATCAAGATGGACAAATATATAATGATAAAATGACATGAACATCAATAATTTAAGTAAAAGAGAAACATAGTTGAAAAAATTAGCTTCGTGCTGAAAATCATATAGAAAGAATACAAAGGTATGAATATAATAAAAAGCACGACATTTCCTCTCATTAGTCAAGTTTTCTTTTTCTTTTTTAAATAGTCAAGTTAGTCTAGTGGTTTCTGACACAAAAGAGGCATTGTCTCAAAAAATATAAATAATAAAACAACTAACAGCGGATAGAAATTTTTGTTATAAGAAATGAGCAAGGTGAATGTGATAAAACCTTAAAAAACGGTAAGATTTTCCTGAAAATATTTTTAAGGGTATTTTGCTATCTTATCTATTAAGAGGAAACAAGAACGAAAAGAGATAGAAATAACTAGTAGAGCAAAGGGACGGGTATCTTCAAAATCAAAATGGAGAAAAAAATATCAAAAATTGGATTCCTAAATCACAGGAGCACCACAGTACATTCAGATACTTATAATTGGCCCTAATACATATTATTTGCCGTTTCCTAAATTTTTACAGATATAATTTATATCAATGAAATTGAATCAAATAATTTAACTCTTTCATCGTTCGAATACTTATAATTTATTTAGTTGTCACAATTAATCTACGATGGACATAAATGGATGTTTACACAAATTTTTTTCCTAAGAAGTAAGAGTATATGTTCATGCTAGATGAAATATTAGAATAGATCAGATTAAATATATTAAAATAAGAGGGAGAGAAAAAGAAAGGAGTGCCATATTTTACCCTTCCCCATACTACTCTTGAGGCTCCCTTGTAGTTGCAATCCCATGGCCCGCTACGTTTGTCAAGCGGTTGTCCTTGACAAAAAATGCTCCTTCCAAGATCTCTCAGTTGATCATGCACCGTAAACTCACCTCTATCTTCAATTTTAATTAAGCACCTCAACTTCAACTCTTCAATTCCTTGACTCGGATAAAACCCACAGCCCTCCCACATGTACATGGCGTATTTGTGCACTTCGCTAAAGCCAATAAAGAAACAAACAATATCGAGAAAAATCTGCTTATGTCCATCTTCTAATGCATCATAACTAATTTGCAATATCTTTTGGACATCTCTATGTGGTTGGTTGTTTAATTGCTTCCGCACATCTTCCCATACTTTTCGATTCGTTTTTTTATACAAGTATGAACCTACGACCTGAAGCGCCAAGGGAAGCCCACCCATGGTGGATATGATATCACGAGAGATACCCTCAAAGTCCCTCGGAGATTGGTCCATACAAAATGCATGTGTGTTAAACAAAAGTAAAGCATGCTCCTCATCCAATTCATTCAATTCATACTTGTAATCTACCTCGAATTCAGATTGATCAAGAACGGCTTCATTTCTAATTGTAACAATGATCACACTCCCTGCCATAAACCAACTACATTCCCTAGCCAACCAATCTAGATGATTCTTGTGATCTATATCATCCAGAAGAATGAGGACCTTTTTTCCTTCAAATCTAGATTTGATTATATTGATTCCGTCATCAATTCTAGTCACTTTATCTTCGCTATGTAATATATCGGATATTAGTTGACTTTGTAGTGCCTCAACACCATCGCATCGGGAAGCTTTTTCTTGAATATTTGGAAGGAAACTGACACGCTCAAATTTATCTAAGAGTTGATTGTAGATGCACTTGGCCAGCGTTGTCTTGCCTATCCCGCCCATGCCATAAATTCCAATCATTCGAGCATTGATGGAAGGACTGTGAATCCAATCCATGATTTCCTTCAGACGATCATCAAGTCCAACTAGCTGCCTAGGAACATCTAGCTGAAAATCTTCCTGTAACTTGCTTAGAACAGTTTTGACCACAAGTTTTATCAATTCTCCTTCATGCCTGTTAAACAAAAAAAACAATGAGAGATCACGAACTAGACATGGTCAATGCCAAGTGTTTGATCCTTATCAATTGACCCAACCCACGTTGGCAATAGGAGGTCGATTTTATCTGGTGGTGATCAAGCTGTGGAAGACTGAGCATTGGAGTCTACTGTAGGCATGTAGTTTGGTGATTGATACTATTGGCTGAAGGGGTTATCGTCTCTAAGTTTTTTGCTCTGTACCGGAGACAAATGTAAAATTCTTGAGCGCTATGGGATGCTTTGGTTTTAGTTGTCGTTGGTTTAGTTTTCAGGGACATTTTGGGGAGTCTTAGTGTTTGTTGTCTTCTAGGCATTATGGTTGTTTATTGGCACAATTTGGGGATCTTTTCTGAGCTTGCAGTTAAAGTAAATTCATTTGCATTTCATCGGTTTTGCACGAAGTAGAAAACTTATTTATAAAAATTAAAAAAAAGAAAAGTTTAAAGAATTACCGGTTAGCAATTTTCTCGGATTCCCATCCATTTATGTAACTAACTTCATTAAGTGCTCGTTGCCCTTCCTGGATATCCTTCTCATCAAAACGCACCTGACTCAGACGGAAGGCGTTTCCAAAATTTCCTTTTAGATGCCGCACATCCGATGGGGCAACTTTATAAAAAATGGGCAGCACTATGTGTGACGTGCTCTTCTTGCAGTCCATGATATGAATGAGTTCGCGGAGGCACCATTTGCTCGAAGCATAATTTTCCGATATGATGGGGATTGAAATATTGGACCGCGTGATGGCATCGAGAATCTGTGAACCAAATTCCTTGCCAATTGGTATGCTGTTATCGTCCCTGAACACGCAAACCGGTACAGTCCCTGCCTTGATCAGACTATGATAGAGGTGATCGGTGAATGCCTTGCGGGTATCCGAGCCTCTAAAGCTCAAGAACACGTCGTATTGACCGCTACCTACATCTGTGGGTATTGGGGACATGAACGAAGAAGTCGATGCTCCCTCAATGCTCTCTTCCTCTGCTCTCTTTCTCTTTCCCTGACTCTGCCCTCTGTCCATGGCGATCTGAGGGGGAAAGTTGGCAAGTAAGATGCTTTTTCTGCTGCTTAGAGGATTGACGAACAACGAAAGACGGTTTAGGTTGCTTTTCTGCAAATGCTTGCTGGCTTGGTCCCCTCCGAATAATGTGGACGTCAATTTCTCCCCAAGGCAATGCTGAAGAAGGTTCGTGTTCTTGAGAAATACATAGGTAATGACGACATGGCCTTCAGTTAAGTCAGCTGACTTTGTTTCACTGCGGAAGATTAGGTGGCCCTGTAGGGGCCCCCAAAAGGTCCACATCATTTACTTGTTCGGAAACACATACTCGAAATTAAACAGATTCAAGTGTAATTAATCGACTTCCTTAAAACACATTCAAACAACTACGGAACTTCACGCACGTCTATGATATTTCAAGATGGATTCTTTCATTTCACACCTGAGATATGAAATTATGTAGGAAATCCAAGGAAGCATCTTCCTCTGAATATAAGCTCACACGATGCCTAATCCTTATCATAATCTGAATATAGGCATGGCTCATATGTAAAATTAACTAAAACTAAAATATTAATCGAGGAAAATTTTTTAATTGCTCAACTGTTTAAATTATGAAGGAAGTCGATGAAAATGATTCTAAATGAAAGGGAAATACTTCCTTTTGGGCCTACATTTTATTTCTTTCTAAAAGTGCATAGAAATGAGAGGTAATGCAAAAATTGCACTTTTCTTCCAAAATTGGCCTTACTTCATATTTTTTTTTGGTCGAAGCCTTACTTCCTTTTTAAAGATGAATAAAATGAAGGATAATTAAGTCTATCAAAGAAATTAAGTTCCATTTACATCATTTCCACCCAACATGTATCCCAACATATATTGATTTGAACTTTCCCTCTCTTCTTTCGTGGTCTGCTTGTTTTTTTGTTCTTATTTTTTAGAATTTGAAATTTATGGCTTTAATATGTTCGAAATTTGGGGCTCTTTGTGTGATAAAATTTTATGGCTCTTAAATAGGATTAATGTAAATACAAAAGGCTGCGTCTCACTTGTAATTAGAATATCACGGGAAGCAATTCTGCTCTTTGCTTTAGATGTAATGCAATGTGTTGCATCTTTTTGCATGTACACAGGTTAGCGCACTGCATGGTGTCGTATTGACATTTCATACAATGACATGTTTAATAATCGCATTTGTCATGTCGTGTCGTCTGACTTGCTTTATTAAAAGTGTCATGTTCGTGTTATGACAGTTGTCACGCCCCGAACCCCCGTCGAGCCCGCGACATCCCGCCTCCGGTCGAATAGAGTGCGACGTCCCAGGAATAACGTCGCCGACCCAACGATCCATCAGAGTTAACTCGCGGCGGAAGCAATCAGAAATCCCGGACATTAAAATTGGAGAACACCAGGAAGGAACAAATCGACAAACCACCAAGCATATATTATACTTCCAAATATTTACATCATTTGCCAATACAAACCACAAAATAATTTATAAGCACACCGAACTATGAACTCCAAACGACCAAAATATCAAGATCAGCTCTCTAGGTCAGCACTATCCAAAAATGGGGCGCATCCTCCTCCCAGAACTATCCCCTACGCCCTCTCGAAGGCGTCCACTCTGACTCACTGTCCTCGGCATCACCACCTGAATCCTCCGCAGCTATCTGCTCACCTGACGACTCCGAGTCGACCTCAATCTCGACATTCAGGCAGGGGCTCTGAAATGGTTTGGTTGAAACAACCATGAGATCACATCTCAATAAGTCACAACCTAAGCCCCACCTAGGCTATCACGTAATTCCAGACACATCCAAACGCGCAACCAAACAACCACACAACCAGCAATCGAACATTCACACATACCTGGACTCTCTGCATACGCACCATGCACGATAGCCCACAATCCCAACATAATATTTCTTGCACACATGCCATCACACACTTTCCACATATCAATACACATGCCAATCATACCACAGCAGTACATCACAGCCGCGCGCGTGCCTCGATTATAAAGCAAAACCTACTTGGGCACGTCCCATACCATGCCTAGCAGATTTTACCCCATAATCGCGCACTACATCACGCGATACAAACACACTCGCACACTAACTCACACCATGCATCACTTTCACAATCCTCACATGTCAAGCCAAATCCCGCTCGTTCTCAACCTTTCCACCACTACCGCGCCCGCGTAAAACGCATCAGGCCAACGGTCTTCTGACCTCGTCAGGCATCGACACCCCGTCGGGCCGGGCATCGTCACCTCGTCAGGGACGGCATCGTCCCGCGTAAACGAACACGCCTCGGGACGGAATCCTACACACACTTTCCTTCTACCGCGCCGCGTAAAGCGCATCAGGCCAACGGTCTTACGACCACGTCAGGCATAAATCACCCCGTCGGGCGGGCATCGAAATCACCTCGTCGGGGACGGCATCGTCCGCGTAAAGCGTACACGCCTCGGGACGGACCTCACCCCGCGTAAGCGTACACGCCTCGGGGTCTCACTTTTCCCATCAATCCTACTTTCCCGTACCTTCGTTCCACACTCTCCACACGTACCACACGACCACACATACACACGGTCACACACAAATTCACATCTCGCACACATTTTTCACAATTACCCATCCTCATCACGCGAACACCACACAAACACCCAAGCTTAGCACGCGAACTCAATGCGCAATCATGCCACCACACCTCACAGCCACACAATCACACATACGAGCTCATTCAAGCATCAAACTACCCATCAAAATGCCACGATAACACTGAATAATTCTCGAGAGAGAGAAAAACCGAGAATATGTAAAAATCGGGTCCAAACTGGGCAGTTGTGCAGTGATAGAAATCCATTTGAAATAAATAGTAAACCAACTCCAAAAATTCTAAATTTTGGATATGTTATAAAAAACATCTTGATCAACATTTCTCATGAAGAACACAAAATCTGGTTCAATCTGCAACCATGCCTTTTTGTCCCTCGAAATCAGACCAAAATCAGTTTGCTCCAACAGAATATTTTGTCCTCAAAATACATTTATTTCAACACCCAAATCACCTTGAAAAGCTTTGAAATTTTTATATGTTATAGCCACGAATGTCCCCAACAACTTCTGTGAAGGAAGAATTTTGAAAATAGGCCTGGAAAAATTTATAAAAATTCGAACAGACCCGAAGGTCGGGTGAACAGTAAATCGGGCAGTTTTATTTCGGTCCAAAGATGTACTTCCGAATGACCTCAAATGATTTCCAAAAATTCCCAAATTAAAGTATATTATACCTCAAGATGTTGTGAACAACTTTCATGAAGAAACCTTCTTCAAATTCGGCCCACAAAACTCTCTACAAAAATAGCAAACCGGGCGGGTACAGTAACCGTGAATCCGCGATTCACCCCGAACCTCACGGATTCAAACCCGAACCGATTTCCACCGAATTCCAACCGCCAAAACTCATTTCCCGACGTCTAATCCAACCCGCAACAACCACTACCAGCCATACTCAGCCACCAATAACCATGATCAACCACCAATAATCATTATCAACGCCTTAATTAACCTATAAATCCTCTAAACCATACCCGAACGAGTCCGAAAATACCCGACGTCCTAAATAGGGATTAGATCGCGACTTACCCGAACTCTAGACTAACTCGGCTAGAGCGGCAAGGGGGAACGGCTGGCCGGCAGCGATCGGCGGTGGCGGCTTGCTCCGGCGATGCTCCGGCGATGATCAGCGGTCCAAGGCCGAGAGAGAGATGAGAGGATTTTTGGTGAGGGAGAGAGGGAGAGAGTTCTCTGTTGGGGGAGGGGCTGCCGAGAGAAGAGAGGGAATGAGGAGAGAGAGAGAGAGGAGAGAAACAATTAAATATTTGGTCCAAGGTTTGACCAATTTTTTTCTTAATTCCAATTTTGCCCCTAAAACACTTGGTCCACATTCTTCCAAACCAAAATATCTAAGGGCGTTTTTGTCCAATACTTTGGGGCTGATATTTATCCACGCTTATTCCCCAAATTCAATTTCCAAAATCCCCAAAATTCGGAATACCCAAAAATAAGCCTAAGGGCAAAATCGTAATTTTCCGGTCCCGGGGCGAAATTCCAATTTTCGCACATACGTGTTCCATATGTGCGTGGCCAACATAATACGGCGTCAGAATCGCGAAATTCACTTTCTAAGTCCTCGAAAATCGACTGCGAAGTTCCGGGAATAAAATAATATTATTTTTCACTTCCGAGCCAAAATTCCAATTTTTGACCGAAACAACTCTGAATGTGCGTGGCCACCCCAAAATGACACTAGCCTCAAAAAATAACCTCAAACGGCCTCCGAATCCAACCTCGGTGCCCACAGGGGCAAAATCGTAATTTTCCCGGTCCCGAACCGAAATCCATTTTTTTGCAGAAATGGTTGGCCCCAAGGTTGGCCAAGCCAAAAACGTCATCGGCCGTCCAAAATTGTCACTTTCAAAATTCTCGATTCCCGAGCCCGAATTCCAAGAAATGACTAAAATCGAGCAATCGCAACTTTAGCTTATCTCTGGCTAACGGGTGGCTCTCTGGAATTACGCGCTCTCGACCCGTGACCGACACTAAGTCAAATCACGTTTAAGTTTACTCCACCCGGGACGACCTCGGTTGTCATATAATTGCGAGGGTCTGTCGCTAGTTCCCTTCGGACACGATCAATCGAGTAGACCGGTCTCGGTTGGCTCAAAACATTCCCTCGTCAATCCATATGGTCGAAGATCGAACTCAGGTCGAGTTCTTTGGTCGTGCGAAGTCAATCCCGTAATAGCCCTACCCCTAAGGTTAGCATCCCGTGAATGCGCATTTCCGGGTGAGATCTCACTATAAGTGCATTGATCAAATTCATTTCCTAAATCCCGAGAAAAGGATCGAAAATTCAGACCGTTACAACAGTTCAACGCGTTTACTAAACACGTCTTGTTCGGGTTTTGCCATATTTGTGTTATATCCTAACTTGAATGACACAAGTAATATGACACGACATGAATTGTCAGCTATATCTTTAGTAACATGATCGCTCACAAAAACAATGAAAAAAAAGAATGTCCAAAGTCTCTGAATTTTCACGGTTCTCTTGATTTGTTTTTGTTCTCTCTCTCTCTCTCTCTCTCTCTCTCTCTCTCTCTCTCTCTCTCTCTCTCTCTCTCTCTCTCTCTCTCTCTCTCTCTCTCTCTCTCCTATGTTCTTTTCTCTTTTTGTGTGAATGGTGCTTCTCTATTCGTTTCGGGTCGGTTGCTTCACTTCTTTTATGTTTTGGTTCAAATTCGGTGATTTAATATTTAAATTTTATTTAAATTTTCATATTCTTAATGAAATTGGAAATGCGAAGTAGAGATGAACAAATGGTCGTTGTCATTTCTCTCTTATTTATTTGGTGCTGGCCCCACATGCCAATAATTTTATATAGGACAAATTTATGATACCATGTTACCGAGCTCTTCACTTCAAACTTTCAAATTTACATTATCGATTGATATCTTGTCTACAAAATAGAGCTATAATTTGTTAAATGACACCAAATGAGCATAACGCATTAGTATTAAGTTACTAATGATATATGAAATACTTGTACACTGTCCTTGAGTACCTTTTCGGGCCATTTTTTTATTACAGTTTTGTTGGCATATCATTCAACTCTTGAAAAGTCAGTAAACCAATGAAAATAGAAGTATGCGAAATATTCAAAAAAATAAAAGATGATTTAGGGAAAAAAAAAGCGTAGAAAAGAAGGGAATGAAGTGCCTGGGCTTACTTTTAGAGGTAATGTCCAAAAGGCTTTTGAATTATAAATTCGTGACACATAGAAACCTTCATGAACACGAATTGAAAGTGAAGCAAAGGAATGAAGTTGGAAAGAAAGATGCTATTCTGCTGCATAAAAGGATCGATGAACTAATCTCTACGAACAAGTATAAACATGACTACGTTACCACACAAGAAAAAAATGAACTCTAATCTTTAATTAATTAGTAATTGATTGACTAGGAGCAGTCGCAGATGCTTTTAATCTTTTGCCTTATCTTCTTTTGGACCTCACCCTATTCAAGTCAAACTTGTTGGCTTGATCCACTCGCAGGTAACGTGTGCGTTCAATTAAAAATATAAAGTATATGTTTGGTTTCTTATGTGGTTATTGAAAATTGGAATTCAATAAATCACTTAAAAGATAATAATTGAGTTGAAACGGAATTAGAAACGTGTGAAAGACGTCGAGAGAGGACCGAGCTCGTAATTGTGGATGTCATTTTATATTCTAATTTTGTTTAAAATTGCCATATTCTTAATGAAGTTGGAAATGTGAGGTAGAGATAAACAAAATGCCGTGGTTATTTATCTTTTATCTATTCCATGCCGGCACCACATGGTACAATTCCATGTAAAATGAAATTATTTTGAACTGGTATTTTATCACTGAGCCTTTCGTTTCAAATTTTCAAATCTAAAAAATTGATTAATATCTTGTCCGTAAAAAGAAGCTGCTGAGGAAAGTTCAGAGACGACCAAGGTTTGAAATAATGGCGTCGAGTGCTTGTCCCCATTTTTGTTGGAGTGCCCACCTTGAGAATATCACCACAAAGATTCTTTATCCAATTAAATGGAAGTAGAATAAAATTTTCAGCTAAATTCATGATAAGTCGGGTTAAAATTGATTAATCGCATTTTGAAGAACAAATTTATTGTTTGTAACAAAAGAGGTGTAAGAAATGAGTGTTATAAAGCTAGGTGAATCTCCTAATATGCCCGTATGGCTTGTTTTCATGTGTGTCGTAAGATCAACTAGGATTTTTTTCTTATTATTGGATATCATGTAAAAGATCTCGAGAAGTGTCATACTATGGATTTTGGTATGTTTTATATTGTGATGATTGAAACTGTTATGAGTTGAAAGCAGGTAAAAAGTAGCAATATAGTTAAAATGCTCACTCTTTCACCGTACTTTTTTTTATTCCTCATTTACTTTTCTTTTCTTCAAGTGAAGACTCGGTCAATTTTTAAAGCCTTGAAGAGGGGAAATGATTTTTTTCTTTTTTATTTTGCTAAAGAAGGGAGAAAATGAGTTAGAGGTGAAAGGGAATATACTTTCTAGGATTAATGGTCCAACAATTCGAGGAAAACAGAATATTACTCATTTGGAATGTTTTATAGGGGGTAAAATTGTCGAATGAAATTTCCTTAATAGAAAACTTACTCTTAGGATGATCGATTCAAGATAAGTATGTTCTAAACTAAGAATCATGAACTTAATATATAACAATCAGTTCTCCATTTTTGTAACCGAGAACCAAACTAGTCGACCTTGAACCAGCCTACTTTTATTTTTCTGATTTATTCTTCTATAAATTGATCTAAGAACTTAAAACACAGAGAAATCTCACAACTCAAAAAAAAAATGGTCTCTGGATTCACACGAAATGTGGCAATTTTGCATGTAATAGAGTCTAGCGCACTTGCAGACCTGCTCGTTCTAGGTCAACAAAAGATCAATACCGAATTACAATGCAACAAACAATCAGACATCAAGGCCATCATAAGATTCGCCACATCTAAAGTCGAAAACAAAGGCCTTTCTTTTTTCACCGAAGTCAAATCTGAGCTGGGGACATACCTCGTCAACAGATAACAGCTACTCCAAAAGAGAGAATAGAAGACCCTCCTCTGCTGTTCAGCAGCCACCCCCACATCCCCAATAGACAAAAAGGGCTCAGAAACACACTTAGCTCAGCCGACTATTTCAATAACAAAGTGACAAATTAATAGAAACGATAAGCTAATAAGACATGAAAAAGCGATTACCTCACGCAAGCTGAGATGCGAAGAGAGGTCAAGCTTACCTGGAGGAGCAATGCAAAGATGAAATCACTGCAATGGGTTTTGACTTAGAGACTAAGTTAGTTTTGGAGCAGATCGAGTTGTATTCGAGTCCCGAAAGGCGGTACAATCGGAGGATCACCTTCACGCCTCAGCCTGGAGCTATCAAACCAGATATCTCAGAACAAAAGACGAACGTCTCTGTGATTTTTGGTGATTGGCGTGTTGTTCTGAGCCGATGCGTTTCTCCTCTTCAAGCACGAGCACTTGGGACTTTAAGGGTGCGCATGAATACCATTCTGTGCCCGGGCGCTATTTCTGAACAGAAATAATTTTTTTTGATTCTGTGCCCGGAAACAATTTCTGAGTATTTGAAGGCGTTTGATAAATGTCCAAAATTTCTATTCCTAGAGTAGAAAAGAACATAAATGCGTTTGGTAACTACACAAAATTTCTGTTCCCAAATAATATTTTAATAATATTTTGAATTGTTTAAATTTTTTTTTTCTTTTTACTTTCTTCTTTGGCCATGGCCGGCGACGGCGTCACGGACCTCGCCGGCCGCCGGCGGAGGCGAGGGTCGCCCTCGCCGGCGAGGGCGAGGGCTGGACCCTCGTCGCCTGGGCGAGGTGGCCTCGACCAGAGACGGCGAGGCTCGGCCTCGCCCAGATCTGGCGAGGCGGAGCCTCGCCGTCGCGACCCACGGCGAAGCCGACCTCGCCGTCAGTCGCGACGGCGAGGGTCCAGCCCTCACCCTCGCCTCCGTCGGCGGCCGGCGAGGGCCGTGACGCCCTCGTCGGCCCTGGGGCTGTGGCCGGCTGCCGGCGACCGGCGACCGGCGGCCGGCTCAGCCAGGGAACAACACACAAAATAAGAAATAAAAAAAAAGAAAAAGTAGAAAAAAAACTGATTCTCAAAATTGTGCCGAGAAATAAGAAGCAACTTTTTTTTACTTCTTGTTTCTCTTCCAAAACTGTTTCTCGGCACAAATTTTTGCAAAAATGTGCCGAGAAACAAAAAGTTTACCAAACGCATTTCTGTTCCCAAACTATTTCTGGGAACAAAAGAACAGAAATTTTCACTATTTGGCACGTTACCAAACGGGCCCTAAATAAAGCTTTTACTTCTTCTCTTGCCCCAAAGGAGACGCGCAATCTTGTGGTGGAATTGCGTTTCTTTCACGAGGAAATTGTCATTCTTTTTAACCCTTACCTTTTTTACGAAGACCCACCAAAACAATCCCCTTCCTCGAAATTGGCAAGACTACCTCAATGTAGACTTCAAGGATACTTTGTTACTTTCTCTTTTGTAATTGGACTGCGTGGCCACTCGCATCAAAGTGAAGATGGGCAACCTTTCGCTTTCCCTGACCCCATTAACCGAAAGAACCGACAATTTACGTTGGAGTAAAGGTGTTCACATTGGAAATTAAACTTTACATAATGCCATCTGCTTTACCTGACAACTTTTGCAAAAGGTGTCGGTAGTGAAAGTTACTTTTTCGCTTACCTTAAAAGATGAACCAGATGTGCTCGGAAAGCACGCTATTGCCGCGTCTTACATGACTAGCCCTAACCTTTTTGTCTGTTCTCTTCGTGATTGGATCGCATGGCAATGCAAATCAAAGTGAAGATGGGCAATCTTTTGCTTTTCCTGCCTATTGAAATGAAAGCCTCTTACAGCTAGACGAGGTTGAAATGGTAAAAAATTTACCTTTTAACTCATATTTAGGGCTTATTTGGTAATGCTCCAAATTCTCTAATTTTCTGTTCTTTGGTTCTCCTGAACAAAAAAAGAACAGAAATTCATTTGGTGACATCAGTGAATTTTTTGTTCCGAATTTATAACGGTTGTCATTTTATTAATTATCAATTGATTTACAACAATTTCTTAATGGCTTTCTTTTTCCTTTGAATATAAAATTAAACTTCAAACCACAATCCTTTAAGATACACCAAATTCACATATTTTTCTTTTCTTTGCTGGGATATACACATAACGTTATTCTTGTTCTTTCTATTATTCTGTGCGGAACAAAGAAGAAGGTTTGTTATATCTTGGAAGGATTGCCGCTAGAGTCTATAACACCGAGTTTTGTATTCCGAGGGGCGGAATTATCCTTAGGACAGTGCTTATACGCCTCAAACAATTGATCTTATTTTTTTCATTGTTTTAATAGATTTCCAACCATTCTTATTTTTCATATTATCTAATATTTTTCCAGCTATCTTAAGGATAAACACCTCGTCGATTTTCCAAACTAGAATTCCCGCCATTACCATTGTTGTTGGAATTGAGCGAGGACTTGGAGAAGATCACGAGAAGGATAGTGAGGGGCCAGATTGCTGAGCTGGAGGGGATCCGGGTCAGGACCTTCTTTAGATGGTGGTCGATCACCAAGATTAAGTCAAGCGGCGAGAACTTGGTCTTTGAGGTCGGCGGTGTCAGCACCAAGTATCCCTCCAAGAATTTTGACAAGGCCCTTGTTGCGAAGGAGGAAAGTGAGCTTCTTCTTGAAGTTAGGGTTTCAATTATTGGTTTTAATTTGGCAATTTTTGTGGATCAATGATCTACCATTTCGTTTGTTAGTTCGACTGGATGGGTTAGAGATTGCTTGTTCATTGTGACTTGATTACCACGATTGTTTTAATTGGTAGGCCACTTCATTTTAGCCATTCTGTAGGGACCCTGGTTTAGTCTTTGGTAATGGAGAAACACTCAAAAAGGGATTTTTGTGAGTAAATTGTACTTTACAAGATGACAATGATAATGGCTTCAAATTCTTATCATTAGACTGTCAGTGACTTCTAGTGCCCGTGAAGGATTTATTTGTATCGGTAGGATGAGAAGTATGTTTCCGAGCTCGAGTTGATCTCCATGGTAATGATGCTATTGTTAGCGGGATTACGTTCTTCTTGTTGTTTACTTTGTTCCGGGAAATTCATTAAGGCGTTAGTTGTTCGTCCATTAGCAGAGAGAAGTAGCAAGTGTGATCGGGTGGTGTATTTGATTTAACTCTTGACTGTTGTATTGGCGCGTTTTATTCAAGTTGTGCTCGGCTTTGAGCTTTTTGTCCGGCTGCAATTTTACCTGGAAAACGTACTTTCGTAGGTTTTCTTTGGAGGTCATAAATTCTCTGAAACATATGTTTGGTAAAATTCCACAAAAATAATTTCTATTTAGTTAACTATAAATTTCTTTTGTGTATTTTAATAAAATATCTAAATTGATCATAACTCTCCTTTGCACTTGGTAAAGTTTTGAGACCTATGTCTCAGTAATTTTCCATAATCATCATAACTTTTCTTAATCAAATGATAATTTGATCATGTTTGCGTCTGTAACATTCCTTTAATGTTCGGAAGTGATGACAGAAAATCGATTTTGCAAAACAGATTTGACAGATCACGTTTTTTTCCCTTTTTATCCAACGGTTCACGTTAATGCAAGACCGATCCCATAAAAGAGAGCTTTGACTAATGAAATTTCCATCACGATCAGGAAGTTTTGGCCATAATAAAGTAGTTCTTTATTTTTTGCCAAACAATAAAGTAGTGTTGGAAATGCTATTTTTCCAAAATTTTGTAAATCGTTCCGTTGAAATATATATTTATAAAGGTAAAAATATAACTAAGAAACTATATTACTTTGTCAATATTTTCTTTTGCTGATGCACAGCAACAGATAAAAGAATTTGAGATACTTCTCATAGATCTATAACTTTAGTACGACACGCAAGTCTTCTCTTTGCAAAGGAGCCTTCACACACATTCTTATCTACCGAGGTCAACAATGACTCAAACACAGAAAAAAGAAGAAGAAAAAGACCCAAGGGCGTCAAATGAAACCAGAAGAACTTATAGGGGGACAAAATAGAGCTTAGACAAACTTCAGGTGCGAAAACGGAATTTAAAAAAAAAATCAAAAAATATGGCTCCAATCTCTCAAACTCTCCAGCATATATAAAAATATAAAGGGAAAACATCAATCCCGCCATCGCCGGGAAGGTTTTTCGAAAAGAGCACTTCGAGTGAGCGCTTTCGAGAGAGACTATCAATCAATTCGATTCCGACTCGTGCATCATCGATTGAATCGCTCGAACAGGTTGACTTCCATGGAGGATCGGGGCTTTGAGGTAGAGAAAGCTCTGTTACTGAGCTTGGCGCTAGAGTTCGGCTTCGACAAGCTGTCCGCCAATAGGTGCTTGGACCATCTCGTTTAGCTATACAGTATTCGAATCATTATTTTGTCACGCATTTTTTGTGCTAGTCAGCGTTGCAGATATTATGTAGGTATTTCTCGTCCACTACGATGATGGCTCAAATTGGTCTGGTTCATTTTTGAATAGATCAGAGCTGGTTTAGCGAAGTAGTCTTGCTGACGAGCGAAATGTCTGGTACTGTTCCAGTTTGATGTGTTTAGGTTGCTTTGGATGGTGGTTTTTCTTGGTTATTAGCCAAATTACACCCTAATGAGCGCTTAAATGTAAAAAATACTCACTTTCCATTGGCTTATCGCACCGTGATACAACTGTCACGTGAAATACCTTTTATTCTGCCATACAATTTCTCTTTCTTTCTCTCCGCCACCCCCCACCACTACGTCACCATCCTACGGTCACTCCCCCAACCAACAGCAATGGCGCCCGCCACAACTTAGCCCCCATCTTTGTCCGCATCTCTCTCTCTTCTTTGTCATGGCCTGACTCGAAAATAGAGGTGTCTTGCTCAAAGTTGCAATGGCGGTCGGCTAGATCTAGCGTCACATTTGAGTAATTCTGGCATGCATTGAGCTAGACGTGGCGTTGGAGCTCGATTAGATTTGATGTCGAGCCCAACACCGCGGTGGGTTGTAATCGAGGACTCATAACTCAAGAACAAACATGTTGTTATAGCAGTTAAGCACGACGCCAAATTGGGTCAGTGAGATATTTCTCCTTACATAGTATGCTCATGTCAGTATCTGCATTTTGCAAAAAAAAATCTTTACTCTGAAAAAAAGATTTTTTCAAAGATTTTATATCAATTTTTCTATGAAACCGAGTTAATTACCTTTTAGAAAATTCTCTGGCTAGGGAAAGCAAGTCAAAGTCTTCCACCATTTTGCTTGCTTAATTGCCAAGAAAGGGATAAGGCAAAAGCCGACAAGACCTACTCAAAAGAAAAGGGGGAAAAAGAGGAAAAGACTGGGGCACAAAAGCAAGTCAAAGTCTTCCACCATCTTGCTTGCATAGTTGCAAAGAAAGCGATAAAGCAAAAGCCGACAAGACCTAC